AGAGAGAGAGAGAGAGAGAGAGAGAGAGAGAGAGAGAGAGAGAGAGAGAGAGAGGGGGAAGATGCACATAAACACAAAATTTCAAACTGTCAGAATACTATTTTGAGAAAATTATCTGCATTAGTTCAAAAGATTCAACAGCTGACTTCTTGACTTCTTAAATTTTTTCTTCACAATAAGCAGTCTAAAACAATAAGATTTTATCAAGTCTTCTGACAGTAATGAACTACTAGGTAGTTTATATTGTATGTAGATGGAATTAATAAATACATGCTTAAGGAAATAAACTTTTTTCCCGGGAAAATTAACAAACAAATCATTCTGCAAAAACTAAAAGACTAATAAGATTAACCTTCAGGGTGGATATAACTCACCAGCAGCCTCGCACCAATGACCTCGTTGACGTCATCATTTACCCAGTATGCGTTGCGTGTATAAAACATGGCTCAGTCCGTTTAATATATTTAGAAAAAAATTGTTCAAGAATTATAAAAACTAAACAGCCTACAGTATTTTTACAGTCTTTATTTTGCAGTTAAAACATGTTTATCAAATAAAGTCTAATGTTACAACTAATCATGGATCCCTTTAAGGATCTTTTCATGTCTTGCACGAAAGAGAGTTTGTCATATTTGCATTGCTGAAAAACGCCAACAAAAGAATGAAAGCTGTTACATAAACTCGTGGTAGTAAAAAAAGAATTAACCTTTTGTTAATCTTTCTCCTAATTTTTCCCTCTCTATAGGACAGTCCACTGATCCTCCAGTCAGACAGAAATGTGACTGTCAATGCAAGAAATGATCAGGGACAACTGACTGGTCAGCTAACCGTGGGTAAGACACATCACCACACAACGGCATGCTTTCACAAACTGCACATCGAGTACAGTTTTCTTTAAAAAAAAGTTCAGTTTAAATAATCTCTCTGAAACATTTACATATATGGCCTTGCTATGTACTGAAATTCATAAATGCATCTCCCCTTTTTTAGATTAACTAAATGTCATCTGTTTTCATTAGTGTATTTCATGGAGGCTGATGGTCCTGTTGCTTTCTTAACAAAATCACAAAATCATGTTTTCCAAGCTCTTATTGAATTACTCAGGCCCAGCATCCAAAAGATGTCACTTAAAGGGCAGATGATGTATCATTTGACTTTTTTTAGAAAGCCGATTGGACTTTCTGGAATATATAAACATAATAGTGTAATATCTTACTAATACAAAATTACTGCAGTGAAAATGTAAATATAATATTTAAAAAATTCTTTAAAATAAAGTCTTTCTCTTTTGTAAAGCTTAAGTGTTTTTCTGACACACAGGTTATTTTTACTGTTTTTTCCCTGACCACTGAAAGTTCAGGGTTACTCAAATTAGTTTAACACTTTTTCTTTGTTCTGGCTTAAATTGCAGCGGCACAACTAACAAATAGTTTCAGGTTTTGGTGAAAGGACAAGGTCAAACGGAGAACATGACAAAAAGGAAATAAAACTGTTTGGGAAAAATACTGTAGTGTGTCCACATTCAGGTAAATGAAACAGAAAGATGGAGATGGTTGTAAAAATATCTTGGATCTAGATTGAATTGTAGCAGCCCTACTAATAAATAGTTTCAGATTTTGTTAAAAAGACAAGGTAAAATAAAGACAAAACCAAAAAAGTGAACTAAATTTAATTGGGGTTAAAATGTACTCTGTCCAAATATAGGTAAATTAAATCTAAACAAGCAAAAAGCCAAGAAAACATTAGGTATAGCTTTAAATAGGATCAACATTTTCAAGTCTCATTATGAGATTCAAAAACAATAAGAGCAGCCACGTTTAAATGTGTTACCAATGTGATGCTGCATATGAACACTGAGATAAAAACAAAACATATTTTACTCATTCAAAAATTCAATTAAATTAAAAAAATACTTTATTGATCCCAAAGGGAAATTACATTTTGGAACAACCCTTTCAAGAGAGAGACAAAAACAAAAGAAAAAACATAGGAGAACAGGTGCCCTGGGTCCTGCAGCCATAAAGAGGAGCTACCCTTGCATTAGAAAAACAAAATAGCAAACACGAGGATGGCGAGGAATAAAATAAACAAATAAAACATATCATACTATGTTTCAACAAGGACAAAATATGAGTTTGCAAAAAACATCTGCAATGAGCACCATATAAGCCAGCAAAGGCAGTGAGTTCAGAGGTGTGTGTATCTGTGAGTAAGACTGTGAACAAGTCCCCGAGCCCCTCCCTGCCATCGTTTCTGAAGGGATGTAGAGTTCATCAGTTTGGCCTTGGTTACTCTTAGACACCAGTTCAAAGACATGAGTGGGAGAGGGGATGGTGGGGGCCAGAGCATCTGTTTACAAAAATGTCCATGAGAGTTTGAGATATCCCTTCAAGGCCGACATGTGGAAGCCAAATTCAGACAATCGCAGTTGTTTCGGTACAGGCCAACACTGTTGATTTGTCACCTCTCTATGGTGAATTTCAGTCATCCAAATTTGTTGGTCTTTCTTGCCTCACTGAGTGTACAACTCCTCTAAGGTCTATTCCATCCCGCCAGAGAGCTCGGGAAATACAGCTGGCCTGCGACCCTGAGCAAGGATCGCCTCCAGCTTGCGTTTCTGCTCCAAAAGCATCTGATTCTGAGTGTTGACAGCTCAGCACATTCCATCACACAGGCCGGGCAGCCTCAACATGGCCCAAATAGCTACCGACACTTTCCAAATTTCATGATAGGTCAGGTATCCACCAAGTCCAATAGGCAGAAATCCTGCGATCAATATTCTAAATATGTAAACATCTTCTATGTCCTCGACTGACACAGACAGGCACAATATCTTCCACTTCCCCAGGAATCCATAACATGCCCGACGGCATATATCCCATCAGGACAAAAAAAATAGAATTCTTTTCATGGAGAAAACTTGATCAATAGTGTTTAGAGACCAGCTGACCAGATCCATAATTTCCTGTTTGGAAGACATACAAAACAAACTCCGAAAGCAGCAAAGCAGGGTAAATAAGGGAAGGTTGAAGAGAGAGGGGGAAATGTGTCCGCATTTGCCGAGAGCAAAAAAATAAAAGAAAATAAAATAAAGTGTTTCAGTTAACTGTTCAGTTGAACTCATCAGGATGCACAGTATTTTAAGGATGACTTGGCTTTCAGATAAATTTGCACTGCTGATGTGGCACCTATAAAACAGTATTAGAATTATTGCTTAAATGATACATGGACTAGTGTCTTTCTGTCCAACCAGGATACTCAAAGCAATTTACACTACAATCTGTGCCCTCATTTACCATTTACAGACATCAGAGGCAGTGGGGGGTTTCAATGTCTTGTCCAGGGACACTTTGACATGTGACAGAATAGCGGGAAACCGAACCACCAACTGTTGTATTTGAGGAACAACTCCCCTTACTCTGCCACAACCGACCCATTAACATTATAATGGAATAATAAAGAACTTACATTAAGACACATCACATTCTGCCAATTCAAATGCCTTCAGTAACCCCAGAACTGCAAAGAACTGTGAAAATAACTGATAGAGTTTTATTGGATTTATTAAACTTCTTAAGGTGTTTCAAATAAAGTCTTGAGGTACGTGACAAATTTATTATTCATCATGGCGTGAGCTAGTAAGACAAAACAAGTCTGTGTTGTTTTTACTATTATCCACATATTAAASCCCAGCAACAAGTGTTTTGATTGTTCGCTATGCCTATGACAAACCACATAACTGATTTCTGATTTGTTGTAACATTGTGACCTCATTCCTACGTGTCTGAATAAAACGACTGTTCACGCCCCCAGAGGTCAGAATTTCTCTGATCTTCACCAAGCTCTTGAGCTGAGTTAAGTATCACTGAACTTCTCCTCTTTGCAAAGTGAACAAAAAACTTACTGGTCTCTCTGATGTCAATTGTTTAAATGTTTGGCGGGGTTGTTTGTTTCTCTGAGTTCTAGGTTAAGAAAATACCAGACAATAACCAAAGCTAATTTCATTTTAGTGAGTGTAAATTCTATATGATGAGTAGGGAAAAAATGAAACAAGTGAAATAAGTTAAAGTCTTCACAGTACAAGCCAAAAATATACACAGTAAACTGATTCGAAGTTAGACTTCAATATGTATTGCACATGCAAAGTTTACTACAACCTTTCAACACTGGCCCAAGTTCTCCAAGTTTCAGAAAAAATTGTGCTGAACAGTCACAAAAAAGGAACGTACTATAAAACAGTGTCTTCAGAACTTTGTCACACATCTAGTAAATTACATCATCGAAGGCAGGGACATGACCTCACCTATTAGGTGACCCAGTTCTCAACCAAGAAAGTCCTGAAAACCGTGTTGTACCAGTGTGAGGCATGTCACTAGATTGTCTTTCAGAAATGTTTTGAGATTCCTCCTTCCTGGAAATAATACTTTTAGGTTTAAGTCAGTAATTCATGACATACTTTAATGACCTAAGTTTTCATGACATGCTGTTTATCAGCAGATAGAATAATTAAAGTCAGAACAAGGTTTGCTAACTGTCATTCTTAGATACTATATCACTTGTGTTTATCTTTGTGTTTTCCCTTGACCCAGCATTTGCTTAGGATGGAATTTTGCTTTTATTAAGACGAAATAATAGTGTTTGTTAAACAGTATATATGAGGCCTCAACTCAGTGAAGAAGCAGGGAAACAGGAGCAGAGAGCAGGGGGACAGTCTGATGTTGTTCTCTGTGTTCCTGTTGTTGCAAATAAAACTCAGCTGATCATTCCACGAAGAACCTTTATTCATGGAACACATATTTCTGTCTTTGTTAAATAAATATTTCCACAACACGGCCGACAAATTTGTCCCCCTTTTTCTTAGATTTGAGGGACAGGTCTGATGGATCCTTCTCGGCCCACCATATCACATCATACATTGCGGGCCGACAGGAGATTATTTTTCTGCTCGTAATGGGGGACAAAGTGAGAGAGAGGAGTACAGTTTTAAATAAAGACTGGCTGCATCTGGCGAAGTTTCAAGCGATTGTGCTGTTAATGCTTTTGTCATTTGTTTAGACATGTTTATTATCTCTGCCAAGGGCGAGGTAATATTTTCAGTTGTGTATGTCTGTCTGTCATTCTGTCTGTGGACAATATTACTCAAAAACTTGTGGACAGATTGTCATGACATTTTTACCACATGTGGGTACTGGGCCAAGGAACACACCTGTAAATTTTGATGATGTTCTGGATCACGATACGGATACAGGATTTTTTTTTCTTTTAACACTCTGAGATTGGCAAAGCTGTGATGCTTTCACAGGGCTTCTGTAAAAACCAGTGAGCTGGATTGGACAGCACGGGCTTCAAGCTTCATAAAATAATGTTAGAACCAGATTTAATGATGAATATTTTTTGCCATAATATGTGCATTTACAGAACGTTTTGTGACCAGGAAGTGCCTGACTGCACCCTGAAACCAATTTTTCCCATTTCCTCAAACACACCACACTTCCAAAACAACCAATCAAAACAGATTCTTGCTACTAGGCTTGTAAACAGAGAGCTGCCGGGCCTCAAAGTTTGGAGACGGGAGGAGCCAGGAAGCACTTTATAAAGAGAGTCAAACCATTACAAACTCATACAAGGAGATAAAACAGGCGTTTTACATGGTGAAATGTGACTGATGAAAACTTAGGAGCTTAATCCGACACCGGTTTGACGATGAATAACGTTGGGTGACGAGTCCGACTTTTTTTTTCCACATTGGACTCCACCAAGAAGAAATTCCATGCATACTGCCTGCTTAAATGTTCACTACGTCCGAACTTATTCGGCAAATGTGTTTCCATCT